CCATCTCACTCTCCATAACACATCGACGGATGATCCCGTCGGCTCCGATCCTGAAGAGATGGGGGTCATCCCAGAAGTAGTACTTCAGGTCGGAGAATAACTTCCTCTTGGCGTGAGTTGTCATCCCCGTGGGCAGCTGCTGGCCCACAAGATAATTAGCAAAATCAGAATACCAGGGGGTGACACTCTCCACCAGGCACATCATCAGCAGTCTCTCATCTGGAAAGGAGTCATTGATCTCCTCCTCGAGGTTGTCCACAGGGGGTGCGTCCAACCGGGAGAGGTGATCGGCAGCAACATTCTCTGCTCCCTTCTTGTCCCGAATCTCAATGTCAAACTCCTGCAGCAGTAGGATCCATCGTATGAGCCTAGGCTTGGCATCAGCCTTGCTCATCAAGTATCGAATCGCAGAGTGATCAGTATACACAATCACATGGGACAAGACCAGATAGGGACGAAATTTATCGAAGGCAAACACCACCGCGAGCAGCTCTTTCTCCGTGGTGGTGTAGTTCTCCTGGGCATCATTCAAGGTCTTCGAGGCGTAGTAGATAGGTCGGAAATGCTGATCACGCATCTGCCCCAACACAGCTCCAACAGCAAAGTCACTGGCATCGCACATAATCTCAAATGGTAAGGACCAGTCAGGAACAACCATGATAGGAGCTTGTGTGAGCTTCTCCTTCAAGGTCGTGAAAGCCGCTGTGCATGCATCAGTGAACTGGAAGGGGGCATCCTTCTCTAGAAGCTTAGTCAGGGGCAGAGCAATCTTCGAGAAATCCTTGATGAACCGCCTGTAGAACCCTGCATGACCAAGAAAACTCCGGATCCCCTTAACAGATGTAGGAGGAGGCAGCTTGCTGATGGTCTCGATCTTCGCTCTGTCCACCTCAATCCCCATCTTGGAGATCTTATGCCCAAGAACTATGCCTTCCCGAAACATGAAGTGACACTTCTCCCAACTCAGTGCCAGGTTCGTTTCTTCACACCGTTTAAGGACAAGTTCCAGGTTATGGAGACAGTGAGAGAATGAGTCTCCATAAACCGAGAAATCGTCCATAAACACCTCCATAATCTCGCCAACCAGACGGTCAAAGATAGCGAGCATGCATCGCTGAAAAGTAGCCGGGGCATTGCATAGCCCGAATGGGATCCTCCGGTATGCAAAGGTGCCGAAGGGGCAGGTGAAAGTGGTCTTCGCCTGGTCCTCCGGTGCAATCGGGATCTGGAAGTACCCGGACATCCCATCCAGGAAACAGTAGAACTCGTGCCCCGCCAATCTCTCCAGCATCTGATCAATGAATGGTAGCGGGAAGTGGTCCTTCCGAGTGGTGTCGTTGAGACGCCGGTAGTCAATGCAGACACGGTACCCAGTCACCGTGCGCATCGGAATCAGCTCATTCTTCTCGTTAGGCACCACAGTCATCCCTCCCTTTTTGGGTACCACCTGGGTGGGACTGACCCACTCGCTGTCAGAAATGGCGAAGATGATCCCCGCATCCAGCACCTTCACGATCTCTGCCCGAACCACAGCCTCCAGGTTCGGTGTCAGTCTCCTCTGCGGCTGTCTCACTGGCCGCATCTCATCCTCCATCAGTATCCGGTGGGAGCAGAAAGAAGGGCTGATCCCCCGGATGTCTGTGATCTTCCATGCAAGAGCTCGCTCGTATCGCTTCAGCAAGGTCACCAGTCTGGTCTTCTGCTCGGGTGTGAGGGTCGAGCTGATGATGACTGGCAGCTTATTCCCCTCCCGGAGAAATGCATACTCCAAATGAGGAGGGAGGGGCTTAAGCTCCAGCTCTGGTGGTTCCTCCAAGGAAGTGGCGATGCGGGTGGAGGATGAGATCGGTTTGAACAGCCTGTCGCCCTCCAAGAAGGGGCTACTCTCCAACGCGGCTAACTGCTCCGCCAGCTGCGGCTCCTGCGATGCCTGCTCACCTAGCAAAAGACAACGCTCAAGAACATCGTCAGTACCTGCACTCGTTATGGCGAGTGCGGTCTCAAAATCAGCAAGCATATCACAGTAATCTATGTCATCATGCAAATAAGGGTGTTTCCCATTCTCAGACACAGAAAAGGTAGCCTGTTCATCACCAGCACGCAGAATCAATTTACCGCTATGCACATCAATAAGCGCCTTGGCGGTGGCGAGAAACGGTCTACCTAAAATCAAAGGTACATCCACATCCTCATTTATATCCAAAATAACAAAGTCAACAGGATATTTGAATGCACCCACATTAACAAGCAAGTCCTCAATGATACCCCTAGGATGCACGATAGAACGATCAGCTAACTGAATGCTCATCCTAGTAGTTCTAGGTTCACCTAGGCCTAGCTTCTTAAACAGATTATAAGGCATGACATTTATGCTAGCGCCTAGGTCCGCCAAGGACTTTCCTACATGCATGTTGCCAATAACAAGAGGGATAGTGAAACTCCCTGGGTCTTTTCGCTTCTCGGGCAGCTTGTTCTGCAGGATGGCAGAACACTCCTCGCTCAGCATCACTGTCGAAAGATCCCCAAGTTTCTTCTAGTTGGTGAGGAGGTCCTTCATGAATTTGGCATACTTGGGCATCTTTGACAGTGCCTCCACGAACGGCATGCTGATGTTGACCTGCTTCAACATTGCCATGAACTTGGCAAACTCAGTCTCCAGCTTGTCTTTATGCAGGCGAGTGGGGAAAGGAAGCTGAGGTACATGCTCCTTAACCACTGGTTGTGGCTTGGGAGCAGGCGTGGTTGTGTCTTCCCCCACTTCTGCAGTATCAGCTGGAAGTGTTGAAGCAGGCAGTGGCTCATCTCGACTGGGCTGGGCAGGAGCAGCTGATGTGGTCTTGCCACTCCTGGTAGTGATGGCATGAAGCTGCTGGAGCTGGTTAGGATCACGAGGATTCGGAACAGTGGTGGCAGGCAAAGTCCCCGGTGCCCTGGTGGTGTTTTGGCGGGCCAAGATACCCACCTGGTTCTGCAGATCTTGCAAGATGGCACCCTGGTTCCTCTGACCTGCCTCCAGTGACGTGATAGCTGCCTGAGTACTAGTCATGAACAAAGCCAGAATATTTTCTAGCTTCGTCATCTGAGTATCTGGAACTGGGGCTGCTGCTGGCTCGGCAAACTGGCGCTGGGGCTGCTGGAATGGTTTCCCCTGCCTAGGCTGGTAGGGCTGCTGCTGTGGTTGCCCCTGCCTAGGCTGGTAGGGCTGCTGCTGTGGAACTGGGCCCTGTCGAGCCTGATAGGGCTGCCTCTGCTGAAAGCCACCAGCTGGTGCTGGGAAACCAGGTGGCTTAGTGGTGTTGCTGCCCCAAGAGAAGTTGGGATGCTGGCGCCACCCCTCATTATATGTGTTGCTGTACGGGTCGAGGCGCCGAGCATTGGCGATGAAGTCCAACTGCTCTTGGGGAGTAGTAGACTCCCTCATAGCCTGGCAGTCTTCCACTAAGTGATTCGAGCTCTCACACCACTAACATTGAGCAACTGGAGGTGTAGCCAAACCTCTTCCCGGAATAAGACTGTTGGGCTGCTTCAATGTCTGCACTAGCTCAGCCACCTGCTGCTCGAGCCCGGATCTGGTCTCCATGGCGTGCACACCACGGTCCCGGGAATGTCTGCCTCTGCTGCTCTGCCCCCAAGAATGATCTCTGGCAGCCAAGGTATTAATCATCTGATTCAGCTCGGGTGGAGTCTTAGTGAGAACATCCCCTCCTGGGCATAGAGACTCAATCACCCTCTGGCTGTCTGGAGAGAGAGCACTGTAGAAGTTCCCCACTGTGAATGCATCACTGAAGCCATGATGGGGACACTGCCAGAAAGGTGCATCACAGAAAACGAGAAAGGTGCACCCTGGCCTCCTCATCCTTCAAACCATGGAACTGGATAGAGGATGTAATGAGCTGAATCCAGCATGGCTTGATCTCGAAGTTGTTTGCTGGAATAGGCGGGTAGAGGATGACCGGGCGGATGTCAGCAATCCGAGGAGTGTAGTAGTACTCCAAGGTGGGACCCGGCTGCGGTGGATGATGAACTCCATGATCCTAGGGTATGGGGTTGTTCCCCAGGACCTGATTCACCGGGGGAGCTTGCTGAGGATTCCTCTGGTGCGGATTGTAGTCTCCGTCCATCCCGTACTCTTCTTCAGAATCGCTACTCAAGTGGCCGTCTAGGCGCTCTTCCGTAGCCAGTCTAGCCCGCTGTTGTCTCCTGAGTTGGTGACAGGTGCGTTCAATCTCTGGATTCAACGGCAGTAAATCTCCCGACTGGCTACGGGTCATGCACTACCTGCACACACTCAAGCAAGCAAACCCGTGAAGGCACAAGTGGGACAAAGCAAACAAAGCAAAAAGAAAAGCTAAATTACATAAATCACTTTTCTTCAACAACCTAGCCGTCCCCGGCAACGGCGCCAAAAACTTGACTCGACTCTACTGTCACCCTAGGAATTGGCCAAGTATAACCACTTCCTAAAGCGTAGTATAGCGGGTTTAGGTTTAATTATCAACCTGGGTCCTAGATCTGATGACTACTCAGTGAATTCTTGTTATCTAGCAATGAAACTGGAATGCAAGTCTAAACTATCAAACTAACAAAGCAAGTAAACTGTTGTATTCAGGTTAAGAGAGGTCACCCGGATATGGTTCCCCCTAGACTGCAGTTAAGCCGGATTGTAATTACCAAGTTCAGTTTCTATGATAGTTATACTGCGGAAGGTTCTTAAACAGCCTGAAGTCTCGACTAAAGGTCTTCAGACCCTCTCAATCTGAGTCTCTAGCGGGCGACTAACCTCCACCGGAGTAAACAGATTGAGGCCCTAAGAACAAAACCTCCACTACCGGAGTAAATCCGGTACAGAATAGTGAGTTGGCTCCTCGACTAAAGTCACCAACTCCCTACCTTCAATCAAGGATGCTCTATCAACCTAGGCAGATATTCTCATTCTAGGTCAAAGCAGAAACAACAGGAATTTGATCAAGATTCAAGTCATTCAATCATTCAAACCTCAATCGAATATAATCAAATCATAGAATCAGTACTTGGGTTCATACAATCAAAGCCTAACGTACAAATCTAGGGTTCTCCATACCCAGATGAATGGGAGAACTACTCCATGGATAAAGAAGCAAAAGCAGAATCAGACGCGGAATTCATACTGTGAAGGATGGATTCCTGCTCCTGGACGTTGATTGGCACTCCTCCAAGCTCAAACTGGCCTCCAATGGTGTTGAAGATCAATCTAGGGCACTTGGAGACTCTTGTTCGTCGCTTTCTCTCTCTAGGAATCGTTCTCTCTCTCAAAAACTCGAATCCCCTTCTCTTTGGCTGAAAATCTGCTTAAAAAGGCATCAGAGGCCAAAACACGGTCGAGGGCACGGCCGTGTAATGCCTCAGCCCGCCCGTGTTTTGGCTAGGGTTAATTACACGGCCTGTGCATTGGCCGAAACACGGGCGTGTTTGGTAGTGGGCACGGCCGTGCTTCGGATGGACACGGCCGTGTTTCTGCCCGTGTTTTTAGCCAATGTTTGCCCAACTTGAATTTGCTCTCGGTAGTAAAAACACGGCCACAGAACACGGCCGTGTTCTGTTTTAGGTCTGCCCGTGTTTTGGCTCCAGCTTGACGAAATGACCTCCGAATGCCCCGAAACTCGTGCTTAGCCTTTCCTTTGACGTCTGGGACCTGAAACATAACAAAATAGAACAACCCGGCGTAAAATAGGCCAAAATACACGACTATGCCTCTCAAACGGATAAGAATTAGGGGTGCAAATACATGCAATTACATCGTTATCACCAGGTTGAGAGGACATCATAACCAAGGGTTGTTAAATTCTTATTTGCGTGGTGATAATGATCTGAAATTGTCTGGGAAGCCTGTGATTTTGGCTACAACTCATACAGGTAGTCCAAGATACAAGTATGAAAATTTTCAGGATGCTATGGCCATTTGAAATGGTTGGGATATCCAGATTTGTTTATTACATTAACCTGCAACTCCAATTGGCCTGAGATACAAAATATGGTTGATATTTGATGCTCTAAAACACAACTCCTAACAAAGGCCAAGTGTAACCAATGAAAGGGACTGCAGTATAGTGGCTCAAGTGATAAATATCGAATCCACGGGTCTCTAGAGTTACTATTACTCAACTTCAGTTTATTATTTAGCAAATCAGATTAAGATGAAAGAACTAAAACTACTCTAGCAAACTACAGTTAAAGTTAATCTAATTACAGGTTGGGAACTCACTTAGGTATGATTCCCCCTAGCCACTAGCCAGATTAATGATTGATGATCTCTAACTTGTTTCACTTTCATTCACAATGCGGAGAATCCTTGACTAGACCTTGAGTCTCGACTAAAGGAACAAGGCCCTCTTGAGTCAATTGCCTAGAGGGACGTATCCTTCTCTAGAACAACTGATCAAGGCGTTCTGAACTAGACTCCCTCTATCGAAAGGGGTTCTCAATCGATACAAAGCAGTGAATCAACCCTCGACTAAAGCAATCGATCCACTACTATCAATCTATGGTGCTCTATTGACCTAATCAGGTATTCCCTCTCATAGGATCAAAGCAGAATCAATAATCTCGACTAAAGCAGAATTGAATCATGAAAACATGCATAGATTGAATATGAACTCAAGATTATCAAGTCAGAGTACTCATACAATCATCCAATCAAACAAACATAGCTAGGGTTCCTCAAAACCTAAGTGAAGGGAAGTTACTCCATAGAGAAGAGAGAGACTGCAGTAAGAATCTTCAGATGATCAGTCTTCAAGTCCGGGCTTGTTCCTCGAGCTTCCAAGGCGAAGAAATCCTCCTTCTCTACTCCAAGAATGCCCTCAAATCGCCCTCTCTCTCTAGGGTTCGTCCCTTGGGTGTTTGGGATCCAAAAACCCAGCTCCCTCCTCCTTTGGCTCGAATTTGGGTTAAAAACAGCCATTCCCGACTCGCACGGCCAGGGTGCACGGCCGTGCACATCACCATTCTGGCTGTGCACCTCAAAACGCGGCGTATCAATTCGTTGAACCTCAGCCAACTCGCACGGCCAAACTGGTCACTTGCACGGCCGTGCGTGGCCACGCACAATCCCGTGCGTGCCCACGCACAATCCCGCACGGCCAAACTGGTCACTTGCACGGCCGTGCGTGGCCACGCACAATCCCGTGCGTGCCCACGCACGATCCCGCACGGCCAAACTGGTCAATTGCACGGCCGTGCGGGTTGTGGGTGTGCCCGTGCGACTTCCTCAGAACCTCGCCATGCGTCCGATCCTCGTCCAATCGACCCCAGACTCGCTCCTAAGCCTTCATTCACGTCCTAGGACCTGAAATATCACAAACAAGCACAACCTACCGTGAAATCGGCCTAAAACACGAGAATCAACACCTCAAACGGTGTAAGAATGGGGGTAAAAACATGTGTAAATGACGGTCTATCAAACTCCCCCACACTTAACCGTTTGCTTGTCCCCAAGCAAACCTAACTCAAACCAATGCAACTCTCCAGACCTCTATAGCAACAAACACCCCAGATCGTAGGTAGAGGACTTCCTAGATCATTTAGCAACTTACGAGGTCAACCGAAACACAAGTCATCTCATAGCTTCTTCGGCGAGAGCACTAGTATCGAGTCGGCATCATGGCAAATAGTGAACAGAGGACAAATGAATTGTGGATGAAGAGATTCTCAAAAACAAAAGATCATGGACTCACATTTTTCAAGGTGCTCTATTTTCTTCTTGAAGATGGTTGGAACCCCTTTTCTTTTCTGTTTTGCATGTTTTCTGTTTTTTTTTTTTTTTCAAGGGTCCCAACCTGCTCTTACCGGCCATGCCAGGAGCGGATGTCTCGAGCCTCGTGCGGGGGAAAGACATGTAAGGGGGCTGGAGATAGTAGGTGGGAATTGGGAACGAATTCCCGTCTCCCCTTACACACTTTCGCCCTATTCGCACGGGAGACGTTATTTTGAAGCACATTTTCGAGCACCTGTTAAACTCAAAACATGATACAAGAGTCCATGACAGGTAGAAAATCCACAACATCACACAATTCAAGGGTCCTAAGATCACTAATTCACTCAATCAACCAACTTTATATGAAGAAGAAATGAGACTTCTTAAATGCATCAACATCCTCCATAGTGCTACACTACCTCCCTAGGTTGCATATTACTGTAAAGACTGTCAATTCAAAGCATACTGAGCAGGCAATTGCATGGAACACGTACTTGGAGCCCTCAAATTTAAAAATTTGGACAGTGGACTAGGCTCCAAGCACACAAACAGCCAAACATTCACCCGCATACATAATCGAACACCCCCCCACACTTAAGCACGACATTGTCCTCAATGGAGGAAAGATAAGGAGGGTAGAACGAAGTTACCAGATCAAGGGTGAATGATGATGTACGGGTCAGGCAGTGCATTCCAGGAAGAGAGAGTAATCAGAACACAAACACCACACAAAATCTCACAAAGGTTGAGTTATTGATTCTGAAATCAAAGAACAAAACTGACTCAACCGAAGAGAAATAGAGAAAAAAAATGCAAACCGACTGGTTGGGTTGCCTCCCAACAAGCGCTTCTTTCACGTCGTGAGCCGGACGATGGCTCCTAAGTTTCGGTCCATGCTAGAACCTCCTTGAAGTTGAGGTTCTCGTCGATGAGGTGGAGTCGCAAGTCATGAGCATGTGGTGTGGCAGGTGATGAAGGCTCATGTACTTGATGCAGATGAAGTCTCCACCCTCGAGACCTCTTCTTCTCTTCTCTCGTCTCATTGCCCCAAACCAGATATGACAACATCGATTGGCCACCATCGCGTCCACCAAGAGGGACCGATGTCGAGGTGGCCTTGGTCTGGCAAAGAGACACTGCAAATGGGTCCTTGCTAAGCAGTTCCTCGAAGTTTGGTGGAGATATCACCTGTAACTCATGGCCGGTGCAAGCCTGTTCCACCTCAACTTCGTCCTCAGCCTGGACGCCAATTGCTTCTTCAACCTCCCTTCCTTCTTCATGTGGTATCACCCCTGGGAAATGATCAAGAACTCCTCCAGCTTCACTTTCGTCATCCTCCACAACTTCTTTCTGCACCCTTTCTTGCTCTTCTTCTTCTAGCACGGATTGGAGAGCAAGTTGCCAAGCAATTTCTTTCACGAGATCTTCTTGCATCTCCTCACTCATGCCCGCCTCTTCAAAGCTCTGGTTGGGGTGTGGGAAGGTGTGGTCGGCTACGACATGACAGGCCTGATCATGATCATCACGGGAGCTCTCCGTGACAACTTCAGTGTGTTCCACAATGCCCTTGTAGCCTTCTTCTTCCTCCTCCTCTTCTTGTATGGTAGCAGAAGGGTGATCTGGAGCAGGTTGCGCCCAAGATCGCTCAAGATCATCGACGCTCTTCTTAAGGCTCAGGAGGATCTCATCTGTTTCACGATAGGCCTGGACACACTGATCCATCCTGGAGCATGTTCTCTCACAGTCTCGAGCATACTGCTCCATGAGTAACTCCAGTGCCGATGGCCCTTCTGGTTGTGGGAGAAATTCTTCTTGATAATTAGGTTGTTCTTGATATGCCCAGGGGTCCGGTTGTTCTCCGTAGTAAGGGGGTTGGTACTGGAACCCGAATCCATAGTCTTCTCCGCCTTGATTGCTCCACGGAGTCTCGGGGTAATACCACCCAGATGGTGGTGGATACCCCCAATGATTGGAGAAGCCATTAGGATCCATGATTCAGATCTGCACCAACAAAAACAAAAACACCAAAGTGAAAAGCAAGGGTGGAAAAGAAAAGAAACGAAAAACGCTAAAGTAACAAACTTCTGCCTTTCCTAATACTCTAGAAAGTCCCCGGCAACGGCGCCAAAAACTTGATGCTCTAAAACACAACTCCTAACAAAGGCCAAGTGTAACCAATGAAAGGGACTGCAGTATAGTGGCTCAAGTGATAAATATCGAATCCACGGGTCTCTAGAGTTACTATTACTCAACTTCAGTTTATTATTTAGCAAATCAGATTAAGATGAAAGAACTAAAACTACTCTAGCAAACTACAGTTAAAGTTAATCTAATTACAGGTTGGGAACTCACTTAGGTATGATTCCCCCTAGCCACTAGCCAGATTAATGATTGATGATCTCTAACCTGTTTCACTTTCATTCACAATGCGGAGAATCCTTGACTAGACCTTGAGTCTCGACTAAAGGAACAAGGCCCTCTTGAGTCAATTGCCTAGAGGGACGTATCCTTCTCTAGAACAACTGATCAAGGCGTTCTGAATTAGACTCCCTCGACTAAAGCAATCGATCCACTACTATCAATCTATGGTGCTCTATTGACCTAATCAGGTATTCCCTCTCATAGGATCAAAGCAGAATCAATAATCTCGACTAAAGCAAAATTGAATCATGAAAACATGCATAGATTGAATATGAACTCAAGATTATCAAGTCAGAGTACTCATACAATCATCCAATCAAACAAACATAGCTAGGGTTCCTCAAAACCTAAGTGAAGGGAAGTTACTCCATAGAGAAGAGAGAGACTGCAGTAAGAATCTTCAGATGATCAGTCTTCAAGTCCGGGCTTGTTCCTCGAGCTTCCAAGGCGAAGAAATCCTCCTTCTCTACTCCAAGAATGCCCTCAAATCGCCCTCTCTCTCTAGGGTTCGTCCCTTGGGTGTTTGGGATCCAAAAACCCAGCTCCCTCCTCCTTTGGCTCGAATTTGGGTTAAAAACAGCCATTCCCGACTCGCACGGCCGTGCACATCACCATTCTGGCCGTGCACCTCAAAACGCGGCGTATCAATTAGTTGAACCTCAGCCAACTCGCACGGCCAAACTGGTCACTTGCACGGCCGTGCGTGGCCACGCACAATCCCGTGCGTGCCCACGCACAATCCCGCACGGCCAAACTGGTCACTTGCACGGCCGTGCGTGGCCACGCACAATCCCGTGCGTGCCCACGCACGATCCCGCACGGCCAAACTGGTCAATTGCACGGCCGTGCGGGTTGTGGGTGTGCCCGTGCGACTTCCTCAGAACCTCGCCATGCGTCCGATCCTCGTCCAATCGACCCCAGACTCGCTCCTAAGCCTTCATTCACGTCCTAGGACCTGAAATATCACAAACAAGCACAACCTACCGTGAAATCGGCCTAAAACACGAGAATCAACACCTCAAACGGTGTAAGAATGGGGGTAAAAACATGTGTAAATGACGGTCTATCAATATTATTCGAGAATTTACTGGAAAAAATCCAAACCGTGCTGATATTATAGCAAGGGTATTCAAGATGAAGGTCGATGAGTTTATGCTGGAGATCAAGAAGAAGGAAATATTCGGCAAGATAACTGCATGTATGTATATAAATTATTTCCAAACTTTTTTTATTTAAATTTGTTATACGCCTAATTACTATTCCTAAAACTTGGTATTCCATGCTTATCGATTATTCATAGATGTAAAAGCAATTGAATGGCAAAAGCGTGGTCTCCCTCGTGCACATACATTGTTACCAGCTTTTTACCCGACTCGTTGGCCGGAGAGATTTATTTTATAATTTATATTAATCAACTTATTTATATGTCTAAATCATTTTTTATTTTCTAAATATTTTGTGTTCTTGATTCACAACAGAGTTTGTAGTATGTCTATATTGAAAATTCCCAATATTTAGCACACCTACTTGTGATGCTTCGGTTTTCTAATCATAAATGATGTCACTGTCACGTCCCATTTACAACTTATGTCAAAATTTGTCAACCAAAACACTAATGTTTAGCGTATGCCAACCAGAACCACACACACACATATATAGTTCAAGCTAGCGTGTGATAGGATAGGAGTACGCTATACTCTTGCGTTCACACTACCATACGACCATTGAGTTTAACTATTTAGACCCCGAACTAACCAAAGTTTTTTGGGGCATGACACTATACCCTAACCTCTAATAGGCTAACTCCAGTCCCTAATTCTCTAACCTCTAATTTATGCACATACTTCATCATACCTATCTTCTATCGGATCTTGAGTAAAATCAAAAGCATGTATACCTTGATATTGGGGGGGGGGGGGGGGGGGGGGGCGGGGGGGTTCTACGGTACCCCGGGTGAAATCTTAGGTACCGCATACCTTAAGTATGAAAACGCTATCGAGATCTCGAATTAGCAGGATTTTTGGGCCGAATAATATACTCTAACCCTTAATGAGGGATTCCTAGGTCCTAATTATCAAAATTATAAACTATAAACACTAAGATGGTGCATTCAATTTTTGCCTATATTTGGACGAATCAAAATCATAGATAATTGTTTCTAATTAAATTGATCTTGGGGTATAAGATTTAGAGAATTAAAACCTAGATTTTGATCTCTAAGGGTTAGAGTATAGTATCATGTCCGAAAGATCATTCAATTCAAGGTTCTGGATAACGTTTCCATACTCAAGATATGCGGTACCCTGAATTTCACCATAGGTATCGTAGAACTCACCCTTTGATATTATATATATATGTATGTGTGTGTATATCTATAGTAGACTAAAAAATATGGAGATACTTCATCAGACCTATATTCTATCTCGCCTAATACTCATATTAAAATAATAAAAGTGCTACTTGCCTATCCCCCACCCCCGGGATAGAGATCTCGCTTTTACCCCCATAACGAGGCAAATCCTAAGATCCTGCTATTTATTTCTTATCCTCTCCCACAACCCCCTTTATGGAGAATAAAAGGGTAGGGATGACAGGATCATAGCTCGATATGGTTTTATTCTATTCATCGTATCGGAGGTTTTTTTTTTGTTTTGGATTATTTTCATTCTTCTTTGGCACCTATGGTTGTGATCATAGGTATTTAGCCTCCGAAAAGGATTGGGATTTTAGGTCATTTCAAAATCCAATACACATTCATGATCCTCGAGTTTGGACGAACTCTCAACCAATGTTGTAAAGATACTTCATTATCGGATCAATTTATTCATCCATATTGAAACTTGACACATACTGTAGCCCTCATGATGATTAAATTCTCTAATCGCGACTCATTTCCATTTTGGATGTTAGTTTTTTTTATCAAGACACTTAAATTAGTATATTATACAATAGTATCTATTGTTAATTCTTGACGCTTAGACTAAACCTCAACCCATGGTCATTGTTTATATGTTGGCTTAGAATCTCAATCTAAGACACTCACACACACTATCGAGGATTTTGGTCTTAACATGGTCGTTGAATGTGTAATTTTCAAAGAATTTATCACTTATATATTAATAATTGATAAAGAGTGTCTACAATACACACATATTTCAAGTGCATTTAAAATGTCTTATCATTTGAACAATATCGGTGGATTTCATTTGATTATCTACATTAACTTATTATCTTATAAAATATATATCAATTCGCGTTTCTCGAGTTTGGAGGAACTGGCAACCAATTTTGAGAGTTGAGATGATTGGATTAAGATACTTGATTGTTGGATAAATATGTTTATCCCAATTGATTATCTTACTAAAAATTGCCAACCTATATTTGCTAAATGCCTAGGTTATTAGTTGATGAAACGTGATGTTTATCGTAGATTCTCAACAAAAAAATTTCTAACCTTCACATATGTTATTTTTCAAGGAATCTTGTATCTCATCTTAGGATATGAAGTCAAAATTCGTCAACAATCATACTTAAGTCTTTTTGAAAATTTTGATTTATAATCGTCGACGATAACTCCAAGTCTGAAATAAAATTTCTTAACATACAACTTAGAAACTCAATAGAGCTTTCTCAATCAAACATGATTTAGAGTAAATGTAATTAATGTGAACTTTGGACACATCATAAAATTATTGCACATGCAATTCCTCTTCATTTGAGGAGTAGGTAGAACATGATCTGAAATTCTGAATGAATAAGAAGTCTTTTTTAAATAAATAACTGTAACTACTCGATCAAGATTATACTCTAACATTTTACTAAATAATAATTTTTTTATTTTATAGACATATACTTTACGTGAGTGTTTCATTGCAACAAAATATAAAATAATATAGTTTATTTTTCAAAAGTAGTTGAATGTCAAATATTTATTTTCTCTCTTTTCATATATTTTGTTTAATTGATAAAACATTATTTTTTATGTGTATGTTTGTTTAATTTTTTCACCAAAATGTAACTTATCATTCAATTTTAGTAAAAATGAATGGAAAATTTACTTCATAAAGTTTAATCAGATATTTTTCATTTGAACAAATGTGATATGTGTCACTCTCTGTTTTCTTATTTATATTTTGTTTACTTGATGAAAAATTATTTTTTTATGTGTGTTTGGTTAATTTTATCAACATGTAACTTATTATTAAAGAAAAATAATAAAAAAATTAATAAATAACAAAGAATAATTGGATAAAAGAAAAGAAAATATTAAAGAAGAGGGAGGTAGCTCCATAAATACATTAATAACTAATTTTTTTTTTGTAAATAACAAAGAATAATTGGATAAAATAAAAGGAAATATTAAAGAAAAGAGAGGTAGCTCCATAAATACATTAATAACTAATTTTTTTGTTTGTAAAAAAGTTGTCCAACTTGGCAAATTGTGGATCCTCCAAGTGCTTATGTGGCAAGAGATTAGTTTTGAATTGACATAATAGATAGATAGATAGATAGATAGATAGATAGATATAGATTCCTTGCCCAGGAAAATAAGTTTCATGGACCTTCTGATATTGATATAATAATTTCTGCGGAAATACCTGATCCTGATCCTGATCTTGAACTTTATGCTATTGTTACAACATCTATGATGCATGGACCTTATGGCGCACCGAATCCAAATAATTCATGCATGAAGAATGGGCGTTGTAGCAAGCATTATCCAAAGGATTTTTGTAAGCAGACTACCATTGATGAAAATGGATTCCCTAAGTATCGGCGAAGAGATAATGGTAGGACATTTAATAGCGGAGGTGTTGCTCTTGATAATCGGTGGATTGTACCTTATAATCGCTATCTGTTATTGCGATTTGGTGCTCACATAAACGTTGAGATTTGTAACAAAACAAGGTATGTTTAAAATATGTTGCCTTCTCTTACTATTATTAATTTAGAGTTCAATACAATTTTAAATTAGAAACCAATATGTTTGATAATTTAAGAATGTACACCCGTAGGTTTGCTTCTTATGATGTAACCATGATATTCTTGAATATTTAGAAAGCATTCAATCGTTCATACAATAAATTTTAACCATTCTTAAAATCATATAAAATGATTTTTATGCGCAATGTAATCTATTAGATTTTTTTCCTCTGCAGAGCTGTAAAATATTTGTTAAGTATATAAACAAACCTGAGGATCGTGCAATGGCTACACTTGCAGCCCAACAAGTAGCATCGTCAGAGATGAATAGTGGGTCTTCTAAGAAGGCGGTACAAATTGATGAAATTAAAGCATTTATGGATGCTCGATATATCACATCAGGTGAGGAAAGTTGGAGAATATTTAGGTTTGATATCTATAATCAGTCTCCACCAGTGCTTCGTATGTCATTTCATTTGCATGGTGAGAATATAGTGTATTCAAATGTAAACTCCTCTGTGGAGGATGTTCTTGAATCGGATCGTGCTAATACGTCAATGCTTTTGGCATGGATGGAGCTTAATGTTAAGTCAAGGGCCGCTCGAAAATACACGTTTGTTGAGATGCCGCAGTATTATGTCTGGAAGAAGAAAGGCAAGAAGTGGCAGAAACACAAAAAAGAGATGTGTATTGCTCGATTATATTACTGTTATCCGTCAGCGAAAGAGAAGTATTACTTGCGTATATTACTGCATGTTGTTCGGGGATGTTGTACATATGAGGATATCAGAACTGCGAACGGGGTAATATATGAATCATTTCAGAAAGTAGGTTATGCAAGAGGCCTCCTAGTTGCAGATTCAGAATGAAACGATTGTCTACAAGAAGTATCATTTTGGGCATCTGGTTTTAAACTGCGTAAACTTTTTGTCACAATTCTTATTCATTGTGAAGTGGCAAATGTGGAAGCTTTTTGGCTCAAGAATTGGAAGATACTTAGTGATGATATATTGCACTCAAGACGTACTCACCTTAACATGCCTGACTTGACTTTGACAGAAGATGCCATCCAGGAATTTTGTTTGCTTCAAATAAACGATTTGTTGCAGAAGCATTCAAAATCATTATCAGATTTTCCTGGATTGCCGATTCCTAATCAATGTATGCAGGCTGAATGTTGCAACAGGATGATTGCTGCTGAGTTGAATTATATGTGTGAGAATGGAAACAATGTATCTGACGAGGTAGTTCCGAATTTG